AGAGTATGGAGGGGAGGGGGGCACAGGGGGATGAAGGGCATGAAGTGGAATGAGATATGGGGGTTAGAAGACCCTTCTTCATCCCCCGGAAGTGAAACAGGGAAGCCCCGTGATGGTCAGACCCCAGGTGACCCAGCAGAAAGGAAGTAGGACCAGCTTCCTGCCCTTCCTATCACGGCTTCTTCTGGGCTTGCACAAGGCCTGGGGAGGGAGGGCTGCCTTGGGAATTGATGGTTGCTGATAGAGATAAGATAGACTATTTAGCACATTTGCATATATATATACATATATATATATGTATATATATATGGGCTCTCTCACTATATGGGCTCTCTCACTATATAGCCCTAGCTGGTCTAGAACTCATTGAGAACCGCCTGCCTCTACCTCCCTAGTGCTGGGACTAAAGGTGTGTGTTGCCACCTCACCCTCGTAGATCTTCAATAACCCATGTGTCTGTTCCACCTGAGGATGCAAGGAGAACATTTTGTCCGTCTGTCCCACCTCCTGGGATCCGGGTGATGGGGAAATTGCTTAGACTGTTGCTAGGGGAGTTTTGTAATTCGGACCATGATCAAAAGCTTCTTGGGTTTTGTGGAATGTTTTAAATCCAGGAGTCAAATTTTGTTTTTTTTTTTTTCTTCACTGTATTGGTTACGCTTGTACTGCTGTGTTAAAGCACCATGATCAAGGCACTATCTAGACCGTATGAAGCACAGAGGCCTTTGTTCACAGATAAACACTGGGGGAACCTGGATTGTTAAGCACGCAGGTTTCTTTCTTCAAGGGAAGGGATGCTCTACCTGTATTCCACGCAGAAGGCTGGGAGCAGATGTGTTTACTAGCCTGGGGACTTTGGCTCTCTCTGGGTGGATAGAGACACACACTCCCTGCACCTTTTGGGGGGGGCATTTTTCCCAGACCCCTATTGTAAACTAGTTTTCCTCAGTCTGTAGAGTCTATCTTTATGGACTTTACAAAAAGTTGCGATGTAGTCACATCTAATCTGTATTTGGCTTACTTTGTTCTCGAGGAGATTTATGTATGCTTTGTTGTGCACGCAGGATTGAGTTATTACCAGAACAGTGTTTACCGAAATGTGCTGTTCTTACATGTGCCTAAAATACCTACCCGTGTCTGCAGGTCTGTGAAGATGGCAGAGATCTCCGAGCGGAGCCCTCTAGGAGCCAGAGCCTCTGCTATGCTGTTCTTGGCAGTCTATATTTGACCATACTCAAGTCAGGCTTTTCTGAACAGTTTAAAAATTAGGCCTCAACTTATCCTTGTTTTGCAGTGCAGTTTTAGCAGAACCCTGCTAACCCAGGTCCGGAGAATGCCCATGGTTATGAGTGATCACCTTTGGTGTGGGCTGAGTTATTCCTCTCCCCTTCCTCCTTTGTCCAGCCCTGGACCCGCCTCCAGCAAGAAGCTGTCCGACACTGGGGTTCCCCATTCGTCGTTTTCCACCCACTGACCTCCTACCCCACTCTTTCTGTAACCCCCAGCTGTCTTTCCTGTGCTCTCAGTGGAACCCTGTCCACCCCTTATTCTGGCAGGGTTAATATCTGCCCATTGTTGTCACCACGGGTGAAGTCTGCCTGCCTTAACCATTTAGGAAACAAGTCCAAATTTTGAAAGCTGTTATCCATTTGAAATCATGTCGGGTCCAGCCTGACCCAATACTGAGAGCCACGTGGGGTTCATTACTCCCCACGGGGCCTTGTCAACCCTTGCAGCTGATTCTCATTGAGAAGAAGCCAGGCCTTGGCCTCCAGTCTGAAATGTCCCTTCACTTGGACTTACTTGTCTCAGTTTTGTCTCTCTGCTGTATGTTTCCTCCCTCACTGGGAGGCTGTACGTTAGCTTTGACAAGTCTAGTCGTCTTAATACAACACACGTGTATTATCCTCTTGCTTTTTATTTTCTTCATTTATTTTTAAGTATTGGGTCTTGCTATGTTGCCTCCTGACTGTGAGTTCCCGGCCTGTTGTGGCCTTCCTGCTTCAGTCTCTTGGATAGCTGAGACTACAGGCGTGTAGTCCCACATTGCTCTCAGACATGTAAGACCATGCCTGCATATTCTTTGTTAGGACTGTGAGGACCATGTGACTGCCTCCAGGATTCTGTTCCTCCAGAAGGTGGGACTAGGGTGATGTCACTAGGGTGGGCTCTCTGACTCACTTTGTTGAGAGTTGTAGATTGCTTGGCTTCCAATTCTAAGCCCTTAGTGTATATCTACTCAGGCCTGCCCTTGCTGTGGCAGCCTTGTAGATTCTTCGCGGTACAGTTTTGGACGGATATATTCTTTTCTTTCCTTTTTTGCTTATGGGCTTCGGGGAAGCTGCTTGTCACTCAGAGCCTTTTTTTTCTTCTGGACTTCCAGATTGACGGCTCCGTTTTGGATGTGGACACTTCCCAAGCTTAAGCTCCGAATGGTGAGTAGTTACAATCTCCTACATGCTGGCCGTGTGCCTTGAAGCACTTTCTAGGGGCGTTGTGAGTACACAGAAATGTTTAAAAAAAAAAAAAAGGCCCCAAATTAATGTTTGTGTTACTTAGTTCCTTTTTCCTTGGAGTATTAAAAACAACAGAGATTCTGTATGGTCAGGACTGCGGCAGTCATTTGTACAGTTACCTGGAGAACAGCTCAGAGAGGACTGAAGGAGAGAAATCTGCTCTAGGTGTAATAAATGCCTCTCTGAAGTGACCAGGGCTCCTTAGTTTCAATATCACATAATCCTGTTGGCACATGAGTGAGTTCATTCTTTAATGTCACTGAATCTTGGTGTCTCATAGCTGTTTTCAGTTGGTAAAAATACCTAAGCACAATCCAAACCCTAAATAACATTCACACTGCATGGGAGTTGAGCTCACAGCCCCATCGTTCTACGACCGTGGTTCTCAACCCGTGGGTTGTGACCCCTTTGGGGGTTCAAGTGCAGGTTTCACAGGGGTTGCTTATCAGATATTTACATTATGATTCGTAACAGTAGCAATATTACAGTTGTGAAGTAGCGATGACATAATTTTGTGTTTGGGGGGTCACCACAGCTCGAGGGACTGTGTTAAAGGGTTGCAGCGTCAGGAAGGTTGAGAACCGCTGCTCTAAGACAGGGTCTCTATGTAGCTCATGCTGGTTTAGAACTAAGTCCTTCTGCTTCCAGATCCCTAGTGTGGGGGTTACAGGAGCGTTTGCTGTGAGGACCTCACTTGCATTTCGGAATATGGTACCTCCTTCCTTGTCATCCCCAACTCCCAATAATGCGTTTGTCCTGTGGCGTTTCCATGGTATAGATTGCATTGCTGGCGTTCTGGAGTGGACATGTTCCACTGTCTGCCAATGTTTTTATAAAGATAAGATCAGATTCAGTTCCACACTGGGGACCAACAGCCAGGCATGGGGACCCATCCTGAGTTCCAGTGACTCAGGAAGTGGAGATGGGAAGGTTGCTTCCCTAGGAGTCTGGGAAACAGGGGTGCAGCTCTGTTGAAAGAATGAGTAAAAATTGGGGCAATGTTGCTGCACAGACTGTGGTGTACTGTCCCTTTTTAGTTGTCATTCCATCCACCATCACTAGAGCCCTTACCAGCTTTTCTCCACATGACGCTAAAGCCATTGGCCATCTGGAGCTGGCGATAGGCGTGGTCTTCTCTCCAGAGGAACAAAGAGATGGTGTTTGGGCCCTGCCATTTGTCCTGCGTTATTGACTGGTTCTCCGAAGAACTGTGGTCAGGTTTTCTTTATTTGATTTTGTGTGTGCGTGTGCGTGTGCGTGTTCGCAAGTGTGTGCCCGCGTGGTCACAGGACCACTTGCAGGATTTGTTGGGGAGAGAGAGTGGGAGCTGACGTGAGGACGATGCAGGTGATGGATGGGTGAGTCGCAGGTGGACCCTGGGTTCATTTTGAGGGGGGCATTTTGAGGATTTGCTCTGCATGGGGCAGAGCAGATCTGGGCCTTTTCTCTCCACTCAGCAGGTAGAAATTCAAGGCTGAGAGTGGAAGTGATTGTTAAGATGTAGGTTGGAAATTGCCCAGGTGTACCAGTGTGCTGGCTAGCTTTATGTCACCTGAGAGGAGGGAGCCTCCACTGAGGAAATGCCTGCATGAGGTCATGCTGTACATAAGCTTGCGGAGCATTTTCTTAATTAGTGATTGATGGGGAAGGCCCAGGCCATTGTGGGTGGGGCTATCCCTGGGCTGGTGATCTTGGCTTCTATAAGAAAGCAGGCTCCGCTGGGAGTTGGTGGTGCACACCTTTAATCCCAGCACTCGGGAGGCAGAGGCAGGCAGATTTCTGTGAGTTCGAGGCCAGCCTGGTCTCCAGAGCGAGTGCCAGGATAGGCTCCAAAGCTACACAAAGAAACCCTGTCTCGAAAAACCAAAACCAACCAACCAACAAAAAGCAGGCTCAGCAAGCTATGATGAGCAAGTCAGTAAGCCGCTCCCCTCCGTGGCCTCTGCATGAGCTCTGCCTCCAGGTTTGTGACCTGCTTGAGTTCCTGTCCTGGCTTCCTCAGTGATGAGCAGTGATGTGAAGTGTAAGCCAAATGAACCCTTTGCTCCCCAAGTTGCATTTGGTCATGGTGTCTCAGCAACTAGTTACCTCTTTGACTTGGTGACTGTAGCCTGTGCCCTGTTCTAGGGGACTTCCAGGTCCTGAAAGGTCCCCTGGTGTGGGCAGTTTGGAGGCATCACTGCAGAGCCTCTTCCTTTTGAGAGTGGAAGCTGCTTCTGTGAGGAAGAACCCTTGTCGGTTAGGGACAATGGTCCCTGAGAAGTGTGAGAAAAAGCCTTGCTGTATGTTATATGTCATATGTCGTATGTAGCCCAGGCTGTCATTGAATTTGAGATCCTTCTGCCTCAAACTCTCAAGTGCTAGGGTTACACACCCGGCTTAGACCCGGATTTTAAAATTTCTTTTTTGAGATTTAAGGAATTTTTTTTTGTGTGTATGAATATTTTGCCTGCATATATGTATGTGTTCGGCACATATGTGCAGTGCCCTCAGAGGCCAGAAGAGGGCCTCATACCCCCTGGAGCCGGGGGTATAGACACTTGTAGATGATGGGAACTTAACCCTAGTCCTTTGCAAAAGTTGTAAGTGAGTTATCCCTCTAGCTCCTACCCCTGATTTTAATCTCTGAGAATCCTGCTGTGTGCCGGGCTGTGCTCTGTACCGCATTGTCTATTTCTGCTGTGTTTTTTTTTTTTTTTTTTTTTTTTTAAACAGGAGAGTCCTCAGAGTACCTCACCCATCCTTCCTCACCTTCTAAGGAGCAGTTAGCACATTGTATATGCTTGTTCAGTTAGCAAGGTTGTTTCAGTGTCGGGCACAGCCTACTCTTTATTACCTATGGCAACTTTCTTGCAGCAGTCGGTGGTGGTGGTGGTGCATGTGTGCCCCTATGTGCCCATGCACTGGTGCGTGCATGCATGCATGCTCCTCTATGAGCACACATGCGTGTGCCCTTGTTGTATGAATATGGAGTCTGTGGCTTACAAGCCATTGTAACTGTTAAAGTAATCCGATTTTCTTGTTTGTGTTTCTATGTTAGATGCCATTGCGCTTAGACTGTTGTACGTTAGCATCTGTGGAATATTGGTTCCAGGATCTCCCCTGCTGTGCATCGAAGTCTGAGGCTGCTCAATCTCCTGTGTAAAATGCCATCATTTTAACATAAAATCTTACAGACATCTTATGACATACTTTCTTTTTTTTATAAACACTTTAATTTTTTAAAAAAAAGATTTATTTATGTATTGTGTATACAGTGTTCTGTCTGCATGTATGCCTGCAGGTCAGAAGCGGGCACCAAATCTCATTACAGATGGTTTGTGAGCCACCATGTGGGTGCTGGGAATTGAACTCAGGACCTCTGGAAGAGCAGCCAGTGCTCTTAACCTCTGAGCCATCTCTCCAGCCCATGACATACTTTCAACTCATCTGTAAACTCAGTATGGGACTCAAGCACATAATCATACCACTTGGTAGATGAAGGCAGGAGGATCAGGAGTTCAAGACCAGCCTCAGTCACATAGCAATGTTGAGACCAGTGCCAGTTATGAGACCACTCTGCTTTAAAAAATGATACCAAACAAACAACGCACCTCCAGACTGCACCTAACACAGTGCAAAGGCGGGGACGTGATGGTCACGTGGGACCTCACAGGAGATAATGGCACCTGGACAGCACTGAAGAGGAAGTTGAGGGGCTAGCTGCGTTTTCATTCAGTGTGTGGTTGTTGAACCCTTGGGCATGGAGGGCCAGCTGTAGCTTGGAGGAAGTACAGTTCCGCAAGGCCAGGTTCACGTTAGTGATGTCCTTTAGCTCTGTGGACGGTGAAGCTAACTGTCCTGGCAGTCGGCCTCTTGAGGTCTTGTCACACCTCCTTCCTTAGGGCAAACCTTTCTCTCCTCTTCCGTCTGAGTGTGCATTAGTGTGTGCCTTAGTTTACTTTTGGTCAGGAGTCTGCCCTTTTCCTGCCCTGTGCTAAGGGCTTTCCTCCTATATGGTGCTCAGCTCACATTTCCTGAGATAGTCTCTCTGCCATCTTACTATATTGTCAAATTGTTACGGATGGCTGTGGGATGCTTTATGTAAGAATAATGAAATAGTTTTAAAATATAAAAGACTTTTCTTAATGCGTCTTAATGCAATAAAAACCGTAGCGATTATTAAAAAGTGGCAGAAGACAAGAATTAAAATAGCAGAATTGCTTAGCAGAGATTCTGCTTCATAATGCATTTGGATATAATTGGTGTCATAATGTGTAATTAGCAATCTTTCTTTGAAGTATGAGGCTTAGGTTTGGGTGGGGCGGGGGCCCTCATAGGACCTGGTGAAGTCTGAATTCAGTCCTACAGTGGTACTTTAGGTCTGCACAAGCTGTCGGCTGTTGCTACAGTCCTTGGTGTTTTCTGTTGGAGAGATTGTTACAGGAGCATGGGCAAAGCATCCTTCAGCATCTGCCTGGCCACCACAGGTGCCCCTGGTTTGTCAGTGGAAAGGAGAAGACACACTTGATCCACCCGAGGTACCCATTTATGAGCTGGGTTGGCCTGGGATTTGTTGCGCCAAACATCTTTGGGCCATTTTCTAGACTCACCCTGTAACCTGACTCTGTGGACCTTGTGATTGTGAGGAGCAAGAGTCCAAGGAAAAGCTCTGTGGGGGAGAGGGATGGGTCCCTACATAGAGTTGGAGCCTCGGTCCCTGGGGCCCCATGTCTCACTGTGGTCCCTGCATGGAGCTGGAAGCCTTGGTCCCTGTGTCTCACTCTGATTCTACGGATGGATTCTTGCATAGAGCTGGGAGCCTCTGTCCCCGAGTCTCCCTCTGCTTTAGTTGTCTTTTTAAAGACTGTAAGGATAGAGCAGGCCAGAAAACACACATGTTGAGTGAACTGGGAGCCTCTGTCCCTGAGTCTCCCTCT